GTGATGTTTCTGACTATTCCTTTCTCTCCCCCTCCAGTGTCTACTCTATATTATAATGCAAGGGAAACCAAGATTCAAAAAAAACAGTCAAGCATCCTAACACGATTTCTGCCCATTCCGACCATGAGTCAATCCCTGTATCTCAGAGCCCTGGAGCTCCAAGGCTGTGCACACACTGTCCTTTATCTGTCCCACTTGAGACCCACAGATTTTATGTGATTTGTCCAGTGTCATAAAACAACACAGAGGAAGAAACAGCATCAGATCAAAGAGCTTCTGACTTCCAGCCCAGTGTACTTTGTACCACTTAACTCACGACCTTGGCCTTATTAGCATCATGGTTATTAAATTAAACAACCAAACACAATCTTGTCTCTTAAAACACAAAATGAAAACTCCTTTCTTAAATACCTTATATTGTAATATAACACCACAAACCATTTTGAGAGACAAGTTACTCTACTTAACAGATTTATTCCCAAGACAATTTCTGCCTTCTATTACCACACTATGCAAACCACAAGGTCAACAGTTCAAACCCACCAACTGCTCCTCAGAAACTCTATACTGGGTTGCTAGGAGTTGGAATTGACTCAACAACATTACCACAGTATGCTTCTAATATTGCAAGATCACTTTAATCTCATTATCAAACACAAGCATAGTTGAATTCAACACACAATACAGAATTCAGAGTAACACTCAAAATAATTTTCAGGAGTGCCTACCATGTTAACCAAGGCACAGAAAATACTTTCCTTTTAACTAGCTATATATAGACCTAGAGATAATTTAAAACATTTGTTATATCAACCTGATTGAAAATTGGGTGGCTTTAACTGGAGTTGTTGTTGTTGTTATTGTTGTTGTTAAGTGCTTTCAAGTTGGTTATGACTCATAGCGACCCTGAATAAAGACTTTTATTGGGGCAGGGTCATGATTTCACTCGCTGCCAACTCCTCAATAGAAAAGTTTCCTTACCCTTAAATTCATAAGCATTTTAATACAATATTATTATACAGATACTGTATGTTTGTTGATAAAAGCATATACTTAGAAAATATTTACCTTTTATTTTTATCATGGTTTTTATAAAGCAAGCTTAGGGTGCTTGGTGCATTCATTGCCACTGGGGTGTCACTGCTTCAAGACCCTCTCAGTGAACAAAGCTAGATATATTCACAGATATGTATGGGCACAGACACATATTACGTGCCATCAAGTTGGTTCCGACTCATAGCAACCTTTTGCATAACAGAATGAAACACTGCCTAGTCCTGTGAACATCCTCACAATCGCTGCTACATGTCAACCTAAATGCAAATCCATTTCGTCGGGGGTCTACCTCTTTTTTGCTTACCATCCACATTACCAAACATGATGTCCTTATCCAGGCACTGGTCCCTCCTGATAATGTCTGAAGTAAGAGAGACAAAGTCTTGCCACCCTGACTTCTAAGGAGCATTTTAACTGTACTTCCCCCAAAACAGATTTGTTTCTTCTGGCACTTCATGGTACTTTTAATATTCTTCTCCAACACCATAACTCAATTCTTCTACAGTCTTCCTTATTCTTTGTCCAACTTCCACATGCATATGAAGTGATTGAAAATATCATGGCTTGGGTCAAGCACATCTTAGTCCTCAAACTGACATCTTTGTTCTAGAACATTTGCAAGAGGTCTTGTGCAGCAGATTTGTCTAATTTCTTTTATTTGCTTTAGCAACTCTACTATGGAGAGCAAGTGTCAGAGTCTCTTCTGACATCCATTGTGGTCTTTTCCTTCTTTCTTGTCTTAATGACATTTTTTCTTTCCTCCTGTATGATGTTCTTAATGTCATCCCACAATGCTTCTGGTCTTTGGTCAATAGTGTCTAATGCATTAAATCTCTTCTTGAGATTAGCTCTAAATTCAGGTGTGATATGTTCAAGGCCATATTTTGGCTCTTGTAGACTTGTTTTAATTTTCTTCAGCTATAGCCTGAACTTGCATGTGAGCAATTAATGGTCTCTTCTACAGTCTGCCCCAAGTCTTGTTTTGCCTTTTCCATCGTCTCTTTCCACAAATATAGTCAATTTCATTTCTATGTATTCCATCTGATGAGGTTCATGTGTATACTCATTTTTTATGTTGTTTTAAAAAGGTATTTGCAATGACAAAGTC